TGTAAGAATAACTGTTTTGCAAGTGTCTATTTCTATTGTTGTAACAAAATTCACGGCCTTTATTTAATTAAATAAGCTAAAATTACTACAGAATTACACTTAAACTATAATCCTTTTTTCAGTTTGAGCTATTAAATAGAACCTAACTTACGTTTACTAACGTAACACTTACGGTAAACTTAAAAAAAAATTAATTTGGATCCGCTACGAAAAGTCTACGAAGGTCTACGATCTACAGAAGGCTACGATAAGTCTACGAAAGGCTACCACTGTTCTACGGAAGGCTACGAGTGCTCTACGAAATGCCTACGAACTGTCTACGAAAACATTAATTAATCGTATGTTCACACTTCAGATAGTGCTTTTAATTGAAATGATGCATTTTTATGTACTTTTACCAATAAAATTATAATAAAATACGTAATTTTTTTTTATTAAATCGTCGTTAACTTCTTATTTATCCGGAAAATACTTTTGAAATTCTTGTAATTATATATTTTTTGATTAATAATATGTATGCATACTTAGAACTGTAATTTATTTATACTTACAAAAATTTAGTTTAATATTTCTTTATAAAGAACGAAAAGAAATGTTTCGTGTCAGCCCTACAAACAATACGGAAGGTGCTGCAATATAAAAGTATGTCCTTGCGGAGAGGCAGACATTGCAGTCCACAACTCGGAGCCGAACCACCACATCATACCACCATGGAGGGACACGCCAGGATTTCAATACTGGTGAGTGGTGACGAGCTAAGGTCAACTTATTAATGATTACTTAATATGTGATTAAAAGTGTAATAAAAATCTGTTGGTTGAGAATTAGTTCGTTTTGTGGTTGAAGTATTTTATTAACTCGTCGAAGGGTAGACGACTAATTTTTATTTTAATGTCCGTCTGGTAGATTATTTAAAAACATTAGACACGTATTTTTTATTTTCTTACGGAAACGAATAGTTTCGAAGATATATTGATTTGAAATGTCGCGTGACGTCACTTCTCAGTACATTTTATACTAAGAAATGACGTTTTAGCCCCCACTCCTAAACTTTGATTCATTTTATCTAAGTATTGTTTTATTATACAACAAAATAAAAAAATACGTGTCTAATATTTTTTTATTACCTAAGTTACGGACTAATTATATTTTTAATTTTCATACCCTGTCATCATCCCCAAATCACCGGTGACCGCTTGGTATTTGACAGTTTAAATTGAATTTCGAATTGATAAGTTAACTTTAAGATAAATATTTTTTGTATTCATACATGTGTGTATTTGTTGTTGTAATTTCGGAGTAGCAATTCCATTTAGTTGCTTAATTTAAGCTGGAAACATAATTTTAGAATCTAATTTATTGTCATCTGCTATGTAAAAATAAGTCGGGTTTTCCTTCCTGACGCTATACCTCCAGAACGCACGAACCGATTTCCACGGTTTTGCATTCGCTTCAAAGGTCTCGGGCTCCGTAAGGTTTATAAAATACTAGCTACTTCCTCGCCGTTTCACATGCTCTGCTCAGCTCTTATTAGTCGTAGCGTGATGTTTTATAGCCTATAGTCATCCTCGATAAATGCGCTATCCAACACAAAAATAATTATTCAAATCAGACTTGTAGTTACGGAGATTAGCGCGTTCAAACAAACAAACAAAAAAACGAAACTCGGCTTCGGCTTTATATAATAGTATAAGGTAAAACAATAAATAAATATTCTTCATCTTTTAACCACAAAATGTAATCAATACATAGTATAAAACAAAGTCACTTTCGTTGTATGTCCGTATGTATGCTTAGATCTTTAAAACTACGCAACGGATTTTGATGCGGTTTTTTTAATAGATAGAGTGATTCTTAAGGAAGGTTTGTATGTATAATACAAGCATATTGCACCCGTGCGAAGCCGGGGCGGGTCGCTAGTGTTACATAAAATGAAGCATCTGGTGGCCAAACGGAGTTTGCCGGGTTTGCTAGTATTTTATATAATAATGCTTTCTCTTACAAATTTTCTTTCAAGTTTTCTAATGGAATCGTGTAAAGAATAATTTTCTTGTGTTACTTTTCGGACGTTATTAAATTACAGAGCTCCTTGAACTTCCTTCTAGCAGTTATGTTCTAGGGGCCGATTTTCCAACGCCAGATTTTCAACTTTAAATATTTCGCAATTCTTCCATACTAAAAATTATCAAATGTCAATTTAATTCTACAGTTACGAATTACCTGATGATTTAAAAATCGGCCCTTAAACACTTTTGCGTTAAACACTATTTTTCATGAGCACGCAAAGCAGATACATGCAGGTTATGTACATAGTTACATAACCATGTACCGGTACACAAACTCAAGTGGAGTAATCAATCACTCAAAGCGTCAATCTCACGCTTAAACTAATTTACTGCACAGATTACACAGACACACGATCATATTTGTTTGTTTTCAAACCATTTTAATTCATCATTTCAGTTGCTGGCCATCACACTGGTCGCGGCCAATGCATTAGAAGGGAGAAAAATGATGCACATCCCAGAGAAAATCATTGGAGGGGTCATTGACATTGTCCAGAATCACAAAAACAAGCCCACACAACAGACTACCACCGTCCAGACCCAGACACAGCAGCAGAGCTTCCAGCAAGGATATCCTCAGCAATATGCACCTTGGAACACAGGCTACCAGAACCAAGGTCAATCGCAATACCAAGGACAGTATGTCAACTACGGTTATCCTCAACAAGGCAGTTATCCTCAAGGGGGGTACCTTAACAACCAGGTCTATCCTTCTAATCAGCAGTTTGGAGCATCCCAGGTCCAAGGGCAGTACCAACAGGCCAACACATTCGATGGTCAGCAAGGGAACCAATTCCAAACTCAAGGACAGGTACAGAATCAGTTCCAGAATCAACAAGCTGGACAGTTTGGCAACCAGAACCAGCAGATCACCAGTGGAAATTACCAAGGAGCTCAGCCAGTGAACCAGCCAGCTGGCCAGCAAGTGAATTATCAACCAGTCAATCAACCTTCGGGTGGTTTTGTACAGTCGACCGGGTCGTACGGTGGTCATCAGTCATCTAACTTTGGAAGTCAACAGTCAAGTTTTGTAGGGCAAACTCAACCCTCAAACAACTATGTCGGAAGTCCACAGGGACAGGTACCACAATCCACTTTCGTTGGTCAAAATGTCCAATCATCCCATTTCCAAGGACAGGCTGGTAATGGCGCACCAGGGTTTGCTGGTTCCAATAATGGCAGTTTCCAAACGACCGGTGGTGGTCATCAGGTTGGAACTCCTGGACCTACGTGCGTATGCCAAGCCTGGACTAAGCCTCAGAATGGAGTACTCAATGATAACGGTACTCAGAGAAGTGAAGAAAAAGACGAGAAAGCCGTATAAAGGAAATTAAGTTTAGCAAATTGTAGTAGAGATAATTGTTGCATTTACTTTTACATCAGGCGCTCTCACGGCTTGTTTACGTGAAAATTACACAGGTGTATAATGATTATTATCTTGGCATGTGTGTATGTGTGTTGTCTATAATGTGAATTATCCCATAAATATGATTTCATATTGTAACGTTTTTGTATTTATATTAAGAATAGTTTATGTATTACTAAATATAAATACTTATAATATTGTGAGTTGACTGAATCATGTAATTAGTTAGTAGTTTCAAGAATTACAATCACACTATTTATTAAAGTCATCTTTTATTTCTTAATTTTTTTATTATTAATAAAACCCCAGAAAATTTAATAAACTGATATAGAAGTTCGACTTGTGTGTGGTTAGTTGAGTGGTTGCCAGCGGGAATGCGGAGTAGGAGTCTCGTGTACAACAGTAAAAGTACGATGGATAAGTTTAATTTTATGTAGTTTTCATAGTAGTATGGAATCTGGGGTAGTGCCTAGTATTATGGTAAACAAAAAATGTAACGAATGATTTTATCAAATGAACTAGTACGTACATCTATACAGATGAATAAAATTGAAGTGTCTGTTTGTACATTAAAAAAACTTTTTATACATGCATATGAATACACATACCAAAATAAAATTTTTGTTTGTCTGTCTGTTTGTACTGGCTAATCTCTGGAATTGCTAGACCGATTTTGACGGAACTTTATTTGGCAGGTAGATGATGTACTAAGGAGTAACATAGGCTACTTTTATTTTGGAAATTGAAAACAAAAAAAGTTATGTCCTAAAATTCAACAGCTAGTAAGACTTAAAATTAAAATCTCATCTAACCTGAACCTAGGAAGCAAAATCAATACTAAACCAGGTAGGCAGAACAGTAGGTCTACTAGTATTATGGAAATAAACCAACAAATTGTTAGCAATTGTTTCGCAGCCTCATTGTCTCGACGATCAAATTACTTGGAAACGAATTTGCCAGCTGATTGATCTTGATTCTAATTGTAGCCAAATTACACGATCACTTCGCTTGTGTCGTGGGTGCATTCTGTAAAACTACATTGTTCTAATCGATGTTTACCATTTTTGTCGATAGTTGTGGACTTGTAGTAACGGTGAATTATTAAAGTGTGTGTTGTGTCTCTGGATATATGTTTCAGTGAAAGCGAATGAATAATAAAAAGTACAATTATGTTTTTATTTTAAATCATCGAATGGCTGCCCCCGCCCTGGCGATGCGGGAGGGAGTGTCAGACTAAAAACCACCCCGTTCCTTCTCATGCACGTCGAGCCGGAGCCCCGGTAACCCGTTTGGTTCTCCGCGACTCCGAATCGGCATCGGACCTGTTGGGCCTCATCCGTGGTGGTCTGATGGCTCTTTGAGGTGCGCGCTTACAATTAAGTATAGGTATATGATTCGTATTTAAAATTCAATGTTAGTGGCTGGAATCAAAGAGGAAACCCAAAGAAATAGTGATTTGGGTATCATATCATATCGCATCATCGTTTACCACCAGACGAGATCAAACGTTGGTCCATCAAATAGAAAAGAAATGACCATTAATGTGAGAAGTCAAGCTATATGACATAGATTCAATAAGTGCCCGACTGAGATAACGAATCTGTCTGTCTGCGCTTGAGCCACGCTGAAATCATTAAGGTCAAGATGAAATATAAGTACTTTAACAGCAATGACATTTTTCCATAGAGTATAAACTTAACTCATCATCATCAACTGCCAATAAAAGCCCACTGCTGGGCCTCTTCTCACACAAAGAAGTACATACATACATAACATCACGCCTTTTATCCCCGAAGGGGTAGGCAGAGGTGTACATTATGCCACTGTACAATGTAATACCCACTTTTCACTATTTATGTTATGAGTCCCATGTAATAGGGGGTGAGCCTATTGCCATATACCGGGCACAATTCCAGACTCCGTGCTACTACTGGGAATTTTTGAAAAACCCAGTAATACTTTGCCCGACCCGGGAATCGAACCCGAGACTCCTTGCCTGGCAGTCGCACTTGCGACCACTCGGACAATGAGGCAGTCACACAACACAAAGAAGTTTTGAGCATTAATCACCACGCTTGCTCAATGCGAGTTAGCGATCACAAACTTATAATTAGAAATTATAAGCTCAAGTTTCCTCACGATGTTTTCCTTCACCGATTGTCAGTGGTGTTTAAATAATATTATAAAGTACATATAACTCGGAAAAAATCACATTGGTATTTTGCGCCTTGAACCTCCGGGTCACCACGACACAGTAACTTAACTCACCACGTCCAATTTATTTTGCTTACGTAGAGTCTGACAATATTGAGCAAAACTATTTATGATGTTGGTATAAATAGATATAGTCACGTAATCAGCTGATTGATGAAGGTGCCAAATTGAGTTTGTAAACACTATAAGACGAAGAAGAATACTAACACTAAAGTTATATTAAAGTATCCATGTGTACTAAGTCTAGTTCGTTATCTTAAATTAGTCATTATCAATAATTTTTAAAAGATAATTTAAAAGTTTATCGTCATAAAATATTGTTATTCCGAAAATCCTGGTACACAGGAATACTTAAAAACGAAAATTTTCATCTCAGTTTTATCGCTGCTTTATACACATATTTCAGTCTAGATTGCGCAGACATGAAATCAATTTTTGTTCAGACCAATAACCTGGCACAATGACCAGCCCAGAGCTACAAGTTTATCCCAAACTGCGCGCTTTAAAACGACCCCTAAACCTATGAGGCGGCAGTTCATCCGACGGCACAGCTTTATTTTGCAACCCTATTTCCTGACTTATTTACAAAGACCCCTCGCTCCCCTCTGCATTCATACAATGCGTGGGAAGAAAGGGAATAGCGCCGCAGTGAGGGGGCTCCACGCAAGCTGGTGAGCTATGTAGGTCTGAAACGTGCGCGCGCCGCGTTATGTAATCGTTACGTAAGCGCGGTACGGGGTTGCAGGGGTGGCTAGGCGCACGAGGGGTGCCACAGCGCGGGGAGGGGACAAGACAGGGCGAAGGCGCCGGCAATCGATTCCCGTCCGCAGTCCGGCTCGGCATTCGAACATGGCAGACAAGACAAAGGTTGCAGAACAATATTACGCCCCGCCGCCGGATCTAGGCAAATGGGAGTCGTTCAGGATTTTCCTATGGAACAGCGAGACTGGACAGTTCCTTGGCCGCACGGGATCGAGTTGGGGTGAGTTTTAAAATTTTCTCGTATGGCCGTATGATGAGTTTCCTTTGCTTTTTGGAGGGAAAATCGATAGATGATGACTGAAAAACTGATGAAGGAAGATTCTTTTTGCGAGACATTTTCTTTTGTGGGTCATGGAGAACTTATGTAAGGTGGTCTATAATTATCATGGTGAACTTGCACCTTCGCTGTACCTTGTCATTGTTAGCACATGAAGTTCCGAGACGAGCGTGTAATGACTTAGTCTTTAAATGTCGCGCAAATAACATACGTAATTATATTGTAACTTTAATCACTCTGCTGTGGCCATAATTTCCGTTGCACAGATAATGTAAATATGTATAACTAACGCGAGGAACAATACATTCTTGTGTTGCACTGGGAATTGTGAATTTAAAAATGATTCAGTACCTACTGTCAATTGATGTTCTATTTTCGTCCAAAAACAGCCGTTGTCGCCATTTCGAAAATCGCCATTACGTAAGGTCAGAAAGAGAGATACAATTTGCATATTTGCTATGAAAATATTAGCAACAATTAATAAAGTTTAATAGACCAACGTATAAATTAAGGAGTGTCTATTTAAATAAATAAACGAGTGCATAGGGTGCATTTCTGTGAATTTTTCGCGCCATGGCGGGCGGCGCGCGCCACTGAGTCTGCGCGCGCATCGTCCTTGCCACGATCGATCCAAGGACGAACCACATCTCAGGGAAATACCCTATTTTCCAAATTGTTCCTTATTTTAACAAAAGTGTCTATAGAATGAGAAAGTAATGTACTTTATTATAAATGTAATGTTAAGTTCAATTGATTGATTTATTGGGTCAAGTTATTTATAGAACTGTGACATATTACACAATGATTTTTTTTTGCAATATAGATAATTTATTCCCATATGTCAAAATAAACGCCCTTTCACCAGGAGGGTAGACAGAAATGTGAGCGCCACCTGCTTCGGTACTTCTATGCTTTAACTCCCTTCACTTTAAATGTCCATTGTCTTTGATTAGGAATTAATCTTGACTTTTCATAATAATAAGAAATCGGTTAACAATAAATGAATATTGCACTAAAGGGTAAGCGAGAGGTGTAATTTGCATCTAGCTTACTCTTTTGTGCAAAGCCAAATTGCAAAGTTTTGTGCTTCAAAACTACTTCAACCTATGAAATTTATTCATTGCATCAACGACTTTATGTCAATAAAATAAAATTGAAAATGTAATAGACAGAAGATAGAAAGAAGAAATTAGATAGGTTGCCTTGCTAACCGCCGTACATATATGTACTTACTTACTTGTTGTATTTAAAGGGACATACATTATATTATAAAAATACTAGTTATTGCTACATTTGTAGTTTAATTTTATATATACTTGCATAGTAATATGTACAGTTTGTGGTCAATGCTTTGTTTCCGTCAATTGAACAATAGATAAATTATTACCTACGCCTATGTGTTAATACTTCAAAAACAAAATTGCGTTAGTCACTCACCACCTACTTACGTATCTACTAAACTCATTGGTAAGCCATTTTACAGCCATTTTACTGTTGGATATATATATCCAACAGTTAAACATTATGTAAAATAAAAATAAAATAAAATAAAAAAGGGAAAATAAAAATGTTTAACTGTTGGATATATATATCCAACAGTTCAACATTTTTATTTTCACATGTCACAGAACTTAGAATAAATAAATTACAACTAAGAAATAAAGAGGTATTTTGTTTTCTACAAAATATAAATTTTTATTCTTATCGCATCAAAACTAGTACCAATGGCGATGACATTATTGTTTAGAACCTTTCTTGCAACCCAAGAAAGCATCTAAATTAGTACTTGCTTAGTAGTAGTAAACATACATAACATCACGCCTTTTATATGCCGCTGTACAAAGTGAAACCTACTTTTCACTATTTATGAGT